ACGACATCATCATCATCATCATGATTACACCATCAACGACATCATCATCATCATCATCATTATATCATCAATGTCATCATCATCATCATCATCATTATATCATCAATGACATCATCATCATCATCACGCCATCAATGACATCATCATCATCATCATCATGATTACATCATCAACGACATCATCATCATCATTATATCATCAATGACATCATCATCATCATCATCATTATATCATCAATGTCATCATCATCATCATCACGCCATCAATGACATCATCATCATCATCATGATTACACCATCAATGACATCATCATCATCATCATCATTATATCATCAATGACATCATCATCATCATCATCATTATATCATCAATGACATCATCATCATCATCACGCCATCAATGACATCATCATCATCATCATCATGATTACATCATCAATGACATCATCATCATCATTATATCATCAATGACATCATCATCATCATCATTATATCATCAATGACATCATCATCATCATCACGCCATCAATGACATCATCATCATCATCATGATTACACCATCAATGACATCATCATCATCATCATCATTATATCATCAATGACATCATCATCATCATCATCATTATATCATCAATGACATCATCATCATCATCACGCCATCAATGACATCATCATCATCATCATCATGATTACACCATCAATGACATCATCATCATCACGCCATCAATGACATCATCATCATCACGCCATCAATGACATCATCATCATCACGCCATCAATGACATCATCATCACAGCAGCAACAACAACAACCAACCCGATTGCGAGTTGCAGGTTCCTGACGATGCTCGGGTGACCTCTCATGTTGTACATGCCCACCATGATGCCCGCCTCGTACTGACCTCTCAGTGCACCTGTCGCCAGGTAGTCCCAGGCCTTCACCTAGGTCATCAACATCATAATAATGTTATAATATATTATGTCATATTAAAATAATATCATAAAATGCAATACAACATTATAGGTCATTATAATGCTTTTCTGAATTTGATCACAACAACATCAATTGTCATACACACACACACACACACATACATTCATCACACACACACACATACATTCATCACACACACAAATACACATCCATTACACGCACACACACACACACTCGCACACACACGCACACACACACACACACACACACGTGTCCATTACACACCTTATCAACGGTAGAGTTAGGAAACTTTCCAGAGGTATACATGTAGGCGATGTTATAGGAGGCATCTTTGTTTCCCAGATTGTGGGACTTGAGGAAGAACTCTGCTGCTTTCGTGTAGTTACGCTCGACGTCCATAGAGTACCATCCTGGTTTTTCCAATATGATGATGATGATGGTGTTGATGATGGTGATTATGATGGTGATTATGATGGCAATGATGAAGATGATGATTGAAGATGATGGTGGAGGTGGTGATGATAAACGATGATGATGGTGAATATGATGGTGATGATGATGATGGTGAATATGATGGTGATGATGGTGGTGATGATGATGAGGATGATGATGGTGACGACGATGACAGTAGTGAAAATGATGTCCAGTTACTTGTTCTACAAAAATTTTTTGA